TTATCTTCGACGAAGTCCATGAGAATCTTCCCCCCGCGGTCCGTCACCGTGCCGCTCCACGTATAGTGGTGTACATTTAGGTCACCGACTATTAGAGTATGCTCTCCCATCATGGTCTTTATCTCGTCTGTGTCTGCTTTTTCGAGCTTGCCTGTCGGGCAGTACAGATTTATAATTGTCAGGTCCCGGCGGAGTCTGGCGATCGTGATCAGCTGCCCTTCACAGTTTTTGTTATTGAATGTTGCTTGGTGGGTGACTACGAGTTGATTGCTGATCAGGAATGCCACTCCCCCTCCTGCTTTTTGTGTGCCTCTGTCGTTTCTGTACACCGCGAAACCTGGGCATGAGTAATTATCAGTGGGTTTGAGACGTGTCTCTTGCAAGGCATAAATATTTGCCCTCCCTTCGGTTTGTTTGAAAATGTCCGGGAAGTTTTTTCTTATGCCGTTACAGTTCCACTGGAGCACTGTAATTTTGTCTCGATCCATTTTTGCGTTGGGGTTGGTACTGTTACTTTCGGAGATGATTGGTGTCAGCCATTGTTGGTTTACAAGTGAGTCGCCGAGTTTTGTTCCTCTATTGAACAGTCGTTCTGCACAGTTTCCGACTGGCTGTCGCTATCTGTCGTAGAGTTGTCCTCCTCGCTGGTTTCTGTATCTTCCTCATCTGTGGTGTCTTTGTTGGGGGTTAGTTGGCGCTTTTTCTTTTGAAATACTTCACTAGCCGTCTCCATGCACTCGGCTGTGTGTCTTTTCATCGCTCTTGCTATTGCTTTATCGATGTAGTCGTTGGTCATCTTTAGGCACTTCCACTTTTCGCCTTCCCAGATTTGGTCGATGTATGCCTTTGGCTGTTTGTTGAGGTTAATGGTTTTTAGCTCGTTTCTTACTTGCCTGTGCAATAGGTTGACCGTTTCTATTTTTTCGGCGTTATGGGAGTTACTTTCTCTAATTGTATTTGCAGGGTGAGCTCTTGTATTTGCTGAGTCCTCTCCTCTGCTAACCTCGCCGCTTTCTGTCTCTCTGTTCTTTCCGTATTGAGATCGTTTTGAAGTAGTTCTATATTTTTGAGGATATCCATGGTGACATCGTAGTTATTTGGTGGATTCTCTGCGGCGGATTTATTGTCATTTTTGTTGTTGTCTGCTCCTGTTGCTCTGGCTGCTAATTCGGCCCGAATGATTCTTATATCGGACTGTGTCTCTGGTAGGTTTCTGGCTTTGCTTTGGTTCCACACCGCTACTTTGTACGGTATGTCACTTAGCTTTGCTTCTCTCAGTGCTAACTGAGCTTCTTTTAGTTTTGGGCAGCCTTTGTACCTGGCACTGTGACATCCACCGCAATTGGCGCATCTTCTGTTCGGATTGTGTCCCTTGTGCAAAATCTGCACCGTGGTTCTCTCCTGCACTTGTCGTGGGCGTGGCCGAACCCCTGACATTTCCGGCATTGGAGTAGAGCCGGGATGCATATTTCCCAGAACTTCATTTTTCCTTCAAGAAATATTTTTGCGGGTTTTTTCGTCCCCTTTAAGGTCACTTTTAGTAGGGCGGTCGGTTCGCCTGATGCTTTGCTTATTCTGTCAACCTTCATAATTTCCAGGTCTTTGTTTTCCTCTCTCAGTTTGTCGGCCATGAGGATCGGGTCTTTCTTGGGTTGTACGCCCTTGACTACTATTTGTAGTGAATCTGTCTTTGGCTCAACGGTGGCTTCGATTTCGTGGGCTAGTGACAGTTTAATTGGTTCTGTTGCTGTCTTTACTTTGTGGAATAGTTTGTGGTTATTTATTGTCCGTTTCATATCCACAATGATGTGATCTTTCCGCACATCCATTCTTGCTATGGATTTTGTCCCTAGCCCTGTTTCCAGGATTTGGGTCTTTTCTATGTAGTTGCCGCTAAAAAGTGACAGCTGTCCTGATTTGGTCTGCCTGATCTTTATTTTTAGAATTGCCGTTTCTGGTTTCTCTGTCTCTATCCCCTCCGGGATGCTATGCAGTCTGGTGTTTCGGTTTTCCGTGGCTGTTATTCCTGGCACTGACTGCTGTTTGCCCTCAGCTACTGGCACTGGCTGTTGTTTTCCCTCGGCTACTTTTCGTGCGTAGGTCTGGGTAGGTATAGGCGTCGTGGTTTTGTTAGCTTCCTCGACCATAGGTGTTGCTTTAATTACTACGGTCGCCTTATCCTGTCCTAGGTCGGCTGGTTTCTGGGTTTTGGCGGCTTTGTTGTTTTTTTTTAAGATCGCTTCGATCACTTGGGTTGTTTTGTCTGTTTGTGACCGGTTTTTGCCGGTGTTCATAGAGGCGCTCTCTTTTGGTATACTGCCGCTCCTCGTTATGATCCTGGTCTGGTGGACTGGTTCCTGGGATCTTGATCTAGTGATTCTCGACGAGGTCTGTTGTTCGTTTCCTAACATTTTTAGGTTTAGTGGCTAGGCCCTAGTCTCACTGTGTTGAGTTTTAAATGTAGATTATACTCACAATCTGCTGACTTCAGGGTAGCTGCGTCGTCTTGATCGGTTTGCTTCTTTCGCAAAAAGCTTGTCCTCTGCTAAGCAACAAGCCTGGTTAGGAGGACCACTTTAAAAGTAGACCTCCCAGGGTGTTCAAAGCAGTACACAAGGCTTAGTGCTGGGACAACGGACTTTTAGTCAGCGTATCGACTCAAGATTTGGGACCACTACAGCTTTCAGACCTGGCAGATCAAGCCGAACAAAGCAGCGATCGACACCAGTGACTGAGGAAACCTGTGACCCTCCTCTCAAGCGACCGCTGAGCTAAATCTGAGGCAACGTAACAGTAGCTGGTAGTTTATAGTGAGGCTACTAACTCTCACTTCGTGTCTGGTAGCGGGTAGTTTTAAGTGAGGCTACTAACTCTCACTGTTTTTCTGGCTGAGACGACTGACTTTTAGTAAGCGTGCCGCATTGAGATTTGAAAACACTACAGCTTTCAGACCCAGCAGATCAAGCCGAACAAAGCAGCGATCATGCTGATCTCTGAGGTAGCCTGTGTTTCTCCTCTCAAGCAAACGCTGAACTAAATCAGAGCAACGTAACAGTAGCTGGTAGATTATAGTGAGGCTACTAACTCTCACTTTTCAAAGCCGACGTGACAACAAGTTATCGACGATCGGGCAGTGAATCGGGCGAGACGAGGCGGGCGACTTGCTTGATCGGAGATCAGAGCGCGAGTGGGCGCTGCACATGAGATGACGTCCTTAATCCAGAATATATATCCTCTGAATTCTGAATAACTGAACTGGCACAAAAGATGGCGGCCGAAAAATCACGCTAACAGAGCCTCAGTCACTTGTCAATTGCGCACTTCCGGCGACTTTATTTGCGGTTTTCCGGCGACTACCGCCACCGCCGAGAGTGGCGTGGGGGATACCCACGGCGGTGGCGGTAGTCGCAGCCAAATTAGGTCGCCGGAAATGCGCAGTTGACATGTGACTGAGGCCCTGTTTTTGGCCGCCATCTTTTGTGCTTGTTATTCGGAGGATAGCCGAATATAATTTATATAGGATTTGGCTCTCCTAGCAGATTTGGCCCGCAAGTAGGTTGGCGTAGTGGGAGTTCTTTCCCTTGGCCGCACTCACAACAACGAGCGGAAAAAGTCACAACTCAAACACGCCAGTGAGGTCGACATCAGGGCTGCCAATGCTTGGTTGTGTCCCCCAGATCTGGGTTTTTCTTTTGACGCTGCGGGAAAATCTGGGTTTTTTTTTTTCTGTGTCTGTCTGTGGGTGTTTTGCCGATCTGTTAGGGTTAGCGGTAGGATTAGGGTTTGGGTTAGGGTTAGGATTAGGGGTAGCGTTAGGGTTACGGTTAGGGGTAGCGTTAGGGTTACAGATAGAGTTACGGGTAGGGTTAGGGGTAGGGTTAGGAGTAGCGTTAGATGTGACAATTGTGACGCCATAGTTCCCTATAATCGCGCACAGTCGCATGCACGCGCAAACAGTCGACGGACGGTGGATGCTACTGACACGGACAGTTCGCCACCGATTGGGCACCAATCGCGCGCTATTGCAGTCATATTTGCCACACTTCCAGTGGTGCCACTCCCACAAACATCAGATTGTCGGCCAGTATTTCGACCACTTACATGAAAATTTTCACATCTAACCCTAACCCTACCGCTAACCCTAACCCCACCCCTAACCCTAACCTTACCGCTAACCCAAACCCTAAGCAACCCTACACGCAACCGTAGGACGATGATAGAACCCTACGCAGCCCTACACGCAACCGTATGATGATGATAGACACCCTACGCAGCCCTACGCGCAACCGTAGGATGATAGGTAACCCTAGACGCAACCGTACGCAACACTACACGCACCCGGATGATGGTAGGTAAGTAAGTGACTTTTTCTGCGACTTGTTTTGAGTTTGGCAAAGGGACATAACTCCCATAAGTCCCACTAAGCCGGCCGACGCCGTCTAGCTTGCCGGCCAAATCTGCTAGGAGAGCCTAGGATTTTATTAGTGGGTTTGCCTTGCCATCTGAAAATCTCAGATTAACAAATACTAAAACTGGGCTATCCTTCAATAACAGTCCTAAGTTATCGAGGCCAAAAATATACCCTAACAGGGCCTCAGTCACATGTAAATTGCGCACTTCCGGCGACTTAAATTTAGTAGTATCTCACATACCGCTACGCGCGGTGCATAGCTAAACTAGATGGCTGGGACTCACGAGCAGCAGCTACCGTATCTCATGCAGCTTCCTCTATTTTGTTTGCTCGTGAGTCCCAGCCATCTAGTGCGTAGCAGCGCGGGAGATACTCTTGGCGGTGGCGATATAGTCACTGGATGAGGTCCTTAATTTACATGTGACTGAGGCCCTGTTAGGGTATATTTTCAGCCTCCATAATTTGGGACCGTTATTCGGAGGATAGCCGAAACATCTGATGACTAGCTTCGTCTTGACTTTGGTTGTTTGGTATAAAAGCCATTTAACTGTGTATTTTTTCTACGCATTTGTTTTCTTAGGCTGACGACATGAATTTGACTTACAGCAAACCCGTTCTTGCAATCAGACATCATCTGCAGAAATATTTGAAAAGGTTGTTTTTAGGTAATGTGTCTAGCATATTTCCTCATGTAGTAAAATATTATTTCTGTTTTATTTTAATTTAAAAAAAAAAGATTTAAAAAAGAAAAGTTCATTGCACTAGGTTTTGTCCCATAGGGATCAGCCTCTTTCCACATGAGCTGTTCACCTGCCGGGAGCATAGTATGAAGCACTGGCTCCATAGCTCTGAAGAGGGATCTTCCTAACTCTTGCAGTCCCATCATCATCATCAAGTAGCAGGTACATTGCAGAACGTTACTCTTATCACGGTCTGCCTGAAAGAAACTCAGTCTCTCGCCAGCTCTCACGCCTCATGTAACTTCATACTCAAGGAGTCACTTGTATCCTGTACCCATCTTTGTGTTGGTCTGCCCCCGACCCTCTTTCTTGGTACCATGCCTTCTGATTATATTTTTTTCCAGTCTGTCGTGGCCGTTGATTTGACCAACATATTTCAGCTTTCCAGACAGGATGCTGTTTATTAGCCAATCTTTCTTGATGTTCAGATCTTTCAAGATGTCAGTATTTCTCCTCTTTTTCGTCCAAGATATTCTGAGAATCTTTCTATAGCATTTCAGCTCAAAAGCCCCTAGTTTCTTTTTTAAGTACTGGGAGATAGTCCACGACTCACATCCGTATGTTGCTACAGGGAAGATGCATGCTCTAAAAATTATAATTTTGATCTCCTTGCTGGTGCTTAACCATAGACTTTTTAGGCTGTTTAATCTTTGCTTTGCTATGGCCATCCTCCTTTTAATTTCTATCAAACAGTCTCCATTGCTATTCATTATAGAGCCTAAATATTCAAAGTTTGTGACATTTTCAATTTCTTCATCATTTTATCGTTATTGCGGTCCCGTATGGTGTTGAATTCAACAGTCTACATGCTGATGTTTATGAATCCCACAGCAACAACTTTTAATTCTCATCATCAATCAGCAAGTCCTTTACAGAACGTCCCTCTCTTCACGGCACGCCTGAAAGTATCCCTTTTACTAGCCAGCTCTCTGGCCCCATGTGCTTTCAGTGCCAATGCATCCTCAGTGTCTTGTATCCATCTTGGCGGTGGTCGACCCCTGCCTCGCCTTCCACAATTTGCACCTTTCATCACCGTCTTTTCCAAGCCACCATGACGCTTGATGTGGCCAGAATACTTCAACTTTCGGGACAGGATGCTGTTTATGAGCCAGTTCTCCTTGATGTTCAACTCGTTAAAAATGTCAATGTTTTTCCTCTTCCTGATCCATGGTATTCTAAGAATTTTGCTAAAACATTTAGTCTCATAAAAATGAAAAATACAACTTTGGTACAGAAATTGCTATAATAACAACTGGAGCATAACGGGTTAACATAACAGAAGAATGAAACAGGAAAAGTAAAGAAATATGTTTGACAAATAGTGTTACCAATCAGCAAATGGTGAGTTCCTTGCTACTGAAAGGGTTAAAAACTGCACTTGTGAACTGAACGATGTGACTGTGAAATGAAGCCATGACTTTAGAGTGCCAAGCAAACGGCTTCACCACTTCACCATAGGAACCCCCAAGATGAAGGTAGACACAAACAAGGCATTGCACAGTGCACTGTCTGACATATTTCACTACATCTTGTCTATTTGTATTTTGGCCAAAAGGATACGCTTGTTATTTTATTTGTTATGCAAAGTACCCTTTGCCACGCCTTCAGCAGTATTGGGCATATAGGGTTAGACCTATATTTTATAGACCAGTCGGCACTCTGTGGATTATGACATCACACCAGCCGCCTTTACTTCCTAGCACTTTACCTGGTACTTTATTTCGTAGTTTGCACCTTATGAGATTCTTCTGACCAAGGCAACTTTAACATCAACCAAGCTTCAGAAAATGGGTGTCAGAATCGTGGAAACACGAAGGAGTTTAGTTTAATACTAGAGGAGTGGTTTTGGGCTCAATGGTTAAGAATTCTGGGCTTTTGTGCGGGGGACCTGAATTCTAATTCTTGGCAAAAATTAAATCATAACCTGCACAGTTTGTGGCGACTGAACAAGCCATTCAGCCCTAAATCCTCCAGCTCAGTCAACCCCACCCTTCCCCCCTTTCCTTTTGCATGCATAGCAGAAGTGGAAAATACAGGCAGAAATGACAGTTGACAGTTTTAATGCTGATCATCTTACTGCATATGGCATGGGGGAGGCTGTTAGCTTGTTGTACCCCACCAGGACATCACACAAGCGATAAACACCCGGTGACACATAGTGCCACCATGTCGATGAGGATCACCTGTGGAGAGGTCCCTGAAACCCCTTTCAACCGTTATGGCCACAAAAGTGGCCCAGCTATATTAAGGGCCCCCAGCAAAAGCCAGGGTGCGGCTTGGAATAACTAAAAATTGCATCCCACACGGGGATGTCTAAGATATGGGAGAGGCGTGGCTTGGAGGTTACTATGCTCAACCCAGTCCCCAGAAGGCATGGGTTTTAATGCCAGCATAAGGAACGAAAGAAATCTAATCGCCTGCTTAATGAGATGTTTGAGAAAGACCTTAAACAAAAGTAGGAGAGCTCCTATGAGAAACATAGAAATTACAAGAGCTGTTGGACCAACACCTATCATAAAATTAACCGAATATCAAAGACTGAAATGGTTTGGCCGTTTAATGAGAATGAATCCAATGATGCCAGCAGTGGCACTTTTTAAAAACACTATATGTTTATAGATGGCAAACTACTGGACATAAATTTGCTTAGAAAAACCACACAACAGCCAGGGGCTGTTTGGGTTGGTTCTGCAAAATCCTATAAAGGATACGCAACTGACCTTTTATGTTTATAGAAACAAAGTCCTGGTATAGAGACATGATCGTCTCTGTGTTTTACAGGACACGTGATGATGATGAACTTCCAGTGCGGGCAACACGGTGGAAAAATTTATTATGATCAAGGAATTGTGAATGAAAACATCAATAGACACTTATGAGAATCAGTGCTAGTGTTAAGACTTAATGCAGTGAGAAGAAATCTCACAAAAGACATCCAAAGAAAATTGAAGCGCAGATGTATAATTCCACAGTTCAGTAATGTTCAACCAATTAAAACCATAATACTGTATAATTATGGTAGTGTTTAAGAAGATATCAATTACCCAGTGTAAACGTTTTTTTCTTCAGATTTAAAAGAAATTGAAGCGAATGAAACAGAAAGTAAGAAAGAAGTAAATTTCTTGCCAACTTGTTAGAACAAAGAGAGTGCGTGGCTAAGGTTGATGTTCTAAGCACACCTATTGCGGTCCACTTTCCTGATGTACAGTCCAAATTGCTTGTCAAAATTTCTTCAGAAGTGGACAGCAAACTGGACAAAGTGAAAAACTTAATGTAAGAAATTAAGAAACTTAATTTTTTTTTAAATTTCTCTTTTTGTCTGTGACAAGGTTGAGTGTCTCTCTAGTGAAACATAATGGCAAAAACTGGAGCCAGTGATGCAGATGACACCCGATGCAATGTAATCTAAGATCAGCTTTCACACACAGACTGGTTAGTCCGGTGGCCGACACCGGCAAATCCATCCCCTGTTGAACTCAACAAACCGGATGCCAGGCTGATTTTCTTATGCAACTTGTCCATGCAGGTCTAGACTTGTCGATACTGGAGCATTTTTGTGTTTTGTTTACATTACTTCAGTATTATGGTTTTTTTTTAATTGCGACTTTGAAATTTGAGTCTCCTGTTAACATGAATTTCATTTATCATAAGCTTTGTTATGTCCCTTGGAATTTGTTTCAATTAGGGTTCACTGGTAATCTGGTAATTTTAGTTTCAGCTTCATAGCAAACGGGTCACCACATCTTTGCTCCGCTCCTGTGCCAACGAAAAACACACAGAATGTTTATCACAGTCCCTTGTGGAAAGACTTACAAACTGCTGTCTCAGCAAATCTAGCATACACTTGCATTAAAAGCATATGGTAGCCATCCAAAGTGCTAACACAAACAGTCCGACATTAGAAATGCAGTTCATCATTGATGGTTGCAGAAGTCACCAAAAGATCAGCAGTTGCACACACAACCAATTTTTATCAAATAATGGCCCCGCCAATATTGCGAGACCGGCATCGTGCCATTTTCTGAATCTACAAATCACACCACCACGTTGGTCAGTCGAAAAACATTCCAAATGAAATCCGCAGCTCACAGTGTCATGCCATGCACTCAGCTCAGAAGCTGGGCACCGAAACTATATACTTCCTGTCTACAAATGGAGCAAAAAAGCAATGGCCACAGAAGCAAAAATGTATGCCTCGGCTCAGAACAGTGGCAGTGCCTAGTGTCCATTTGGACCTGAAGCATTATGTGAGGGTTAATAAACGGTCACACCAGCAGTACCCTACTTTTAGCTGGGGAAGGGATTTAGGACATTACATACACCATCAAGCAACAACAACCTGACTGTCTTCGTTAACGACTGTTCACCCAACAGCTATGCAGTTCTTTGGCACGAAGGAGACACCTTGAACTTGGGTTTTGGACTGCCGACTCTCTAAAAGAAGATATATGTGTGCTACTGGTGTCCCGTAGTCAAAATACCATCTCACTGTGTCACTAAAATTCAGCACGCATACTCAAATGCGCAGTAGATTAAAAAAAAAAAACACACACACACACACATATATACATACACTCATTACCTGCCACCCGCTTGCTTGCTGGTGCAGCACACATGACTACATATTTATATAAGGATCTATATATATAAATACATATACATATATGTACATCTATATATATATTGGAAAAGGGAGAGAGTGAGACAAGGGAAGAATCATGCCGAATGACCACAAATATTTAAGACATTGACAAGGGGACTTCCCTATGCACACAAGGTCGGCATGACTGGCTCCAAGAAGTGGACAGTGAATTCAAATGGCTCAGTCAGATCAGACACAGTCCCTGCTGTGACAGAAAGTTGGCTGTAATAAAGGACTGCCGTAGAAAGGTGCACCCAAGGGACGGTTTCAGAAAGAGGTGCATACTTTTTGACAGGGTAACATTGCTTGAACAGTGTATTCTGCAAGCCACCAGGGGTTGCATTCACATTTTCTAGGTTCTAACAATAGTAATACACTAGCGATGACTAATAATAATCATTAACAGCTCAGACAATACATACATAAATCGGCGTAGACAGAAAGAGAGAGAGATGGAGAGAGAGAGAGAGAGATCACCGCGTAACTATTTACAGCAAAAGTATAGCCTTCATTGAGTCTTCTGTTTCGAAATCCAAACGTGCTTGTTGTCAGCCATACAGTTTTTGCGTGCATTGATCAAGGCCCGAGAACAGAAAATCAAAGTGCTGTGTCTCTTCGTTTATTTCTAGGTGGCCACGTGGTCACAGATGGAACTGTTGTAGCAGGGTAGAGCCGTGTGAACTTGAATCCTGCAGGTAAACTGGGTGCTTAGAGAATGTCGTGTTCTCAAGTATATCTGGTGTAGCCTGATGAGATGTCATCGCGAAGAAAGGTGAAATATTTATAAGAAGAGGGTTCACTGTGATACTATTTATGATGTTGAAGGACCTAAATTTATAATTCTTTTTATCATGGTCCCATAACACTACGTGTCGTTGGGTCACTAGTTTCTATTGTCTGATCAGCTCTCTCCACCTCTGGTGGTCAGTTGCGATGGACTTCATGGTTGCATGTCTGAGTCCTGTCCAGTCAGTCAAGTTCTGTACCCAGGTCTTTCTTGGGCTGCCTTTTTCCATCTTTCCCTTTACTGAGCCCTGCAGTATTGTTTTTGAGAGGCCGTTATATCTTTTTTTTTATGTCCATACCATTGCATTTGTCACCTTTTTACTGTAGTTAAAAGAGCTTCATAGTTGCCAATGTGTTGTTTAATTATATGGTGAACGTCTTTGTTTGTAATGTGGTCTCTGTATGCATGCCAAGTATTTTTCTGTAGCATCGCATTTCCAATGCTTGTATTTTCCTTTCGAGTTAAGTTGTTAAAGTAATTTGTTTAAAATGAGTTAATTTTAACAACCATCTCGAATAGAATGAAGTAACTAAAGTAAGATGTACTATTATTTAGTTTGTGCCTGTGACTTGAGTGTTGTGAATGCGCTTCATAATTTCATGGCGCCATGTTCAATCCTAGCTGCGGGTGATTTGGCAGCAGACTGCCTAGTTTTTTTTTCTTTCGACGGTGGTATCTAGAGCTGACCATTCTGAAAGCAATGGCTAACTACTGAATGTAAAACGGCCTTTAAAAAATATACCACATAAAGAGCTACAAATGTTGGATTTGGTTCTGCAACGTCTTGTAAAGGATACACAACTAACTTTTAACAATTCTTTAGACCAGCCTGTGAACATATGATGTGTTGCTAAGTATAGAAATAGTTAATGCAGGTATTTCTTGATTACAGAGATCCGCTAAAGAAACATCACTCTGTTGTAAATAAAGCCAGAACTGATGCCCTCAATCTTATCCGTAAACATCCCAGTGATCTGGATTTCAACACTTTGGCCGCTGGTGAGCCTACTGTACCGCCACTTATCATCATGCTTGATTGGGTTGATACAATTGAAAGGCAAATACGAGAAATGTATCCTTGGTATTTTAATATTTAATGTCCCCACATAGGTTCTGGGGCCCTATTATAGGGAAAACAAGAATAGACCCATTGCCTACCCAAAAGCATGTCATAAGAGTCGACTAATTGGGAGCTTCCTTCAAAGTCGGAGTGCAACTGCCTGAGAGGCAAGGAACCAGCAGTCTGCATACAGATTGGTCAGATCTTTTAAACAGATGCACACGCAATACTCAGGTTCTTGAACAGGACAGCAGTCCAGAAGTGAACGAACAGCTAGAACTTTCCGCCAGAGTTTACAGCTGGTGAAAGCGAAGAAGAAGAAGAAAAAAAGAAGAAAATAATTTTGATGTAACATATTTTATCAGTTTTTTTAATAAAACCTCTTTATTATCTGTTGTCTCTCTTCTTCATTTAATATTGTCTTTATTGTAAGAAGAATATATAATTAAGTGATTCCAATTTATAATGTCTAATATTAGCCAGTCTGTGGAAGTCAGTAGCCAAACATGCAGACTACTTGGCTCCAAAATAAGAACTAGAACAGATTTTTCAGAATGTTAAAATTGTGGTTGGTGGTCATAATGTAAACAGCCTAGCTTATGATGATGGCACCATCTTGATCATGACAAGTCAGAGAGAACTACAGTGATTCATACGGTGATGTTGGAAAGTTTGCTACGGTGGTGTTGGAAAGTTTGATACGGTGGTGTTGGAAAGATTGATACGGTGGTGTTGGAAAGTTTAATACGGTGGTGTTGAAAAGTTTGATACGGTGGTGTTGAAAAGTTTGATACGGTGGTGTTGGAAAGTTTGATACGGTGGTGTTGGAAAGTTTGATACGGTGGTGTTGGAAAGTTTGATACGGTGGTGTTGGAAAGTTTGATACGGTGGTGTTGGAAAGTTTGATATGGTGGTGTTGGAAAGTTTGATACGGTGGTGTTGGAAAGTTTGATACGGTGGTGTTGGAAAGTTTGATACGGTGGTGTTGAAAAGTTTGATACTGTGGTGTTGGAAAGTTTGATACGGTGGTGTTGAAAAGTTTGATACGGTGGTGTTGGAAAGTTTGATACGGTGGTGTTGGAAAGTTTGATACGGTGGTGTTGGAAAGTTTGATACGGTGGTGTTGAAAAGTTTGATACTGTGGTGTTGGAAAGTTTGATACGGTGGTGTTGAAAAGTTTGATACGGTGGTGTTGGAAAGTTTGATACGGTGGTGTTGGAAAGTTTGATACGGTGGTGTTGGAAAGTTTGATATAGTGGTGTTGGAAAGTTTGATACAGTGGTGTTGGAAAGGTTGATACGGTGGTGTTGGAAAGTTTGATACGGTGGTGTTGAAAAGTTTGATACTGTGGTGTTGGAAAGTTTGATACGGTTGTGTTGGAAAGTTTGATACGGTGGTGTTGGAAAGTTTGATACGGTGGTGTTGGAAAGTTTGATACGGGGGTGTTGGAAAGTGATAAAATGGGCCTCAGCTAGAAGAAAATAGAAAGATGTAAGTAATGATAATACCAAAGAAAAGAATATTGCCTAAATGTGTAAAAAAAAAGTCAAAGGCATATTTTAGAACAAGTTCACAAGTTTAAGTATCTAGGCACACGGATAACATCTGATGGAAGATGTGTCACAGAGATAAAGAACAGAATAGGGTAGACCAAAACTGTATTTTATAAAGTGAAGAGCATTTGATGCAATAGATCCATGTCATTGGAGATTAGGACAAGAATTTGTGCATGCTATATAGAGCCAGTTTTAACATATGGCTGTAAATTCTGGACGATTAATAAACAGGCCAAACAATTTCTCAAGGCAAAGATGATGTAAAATGTCACGAATTGTAGGTGTTTTTATCTCAACAATTTCTTCTAGGTCTGCCTCGTGGTCTATGACCATTCATCTTTCTTGTGTATAGTGTTTTTCTTTCTCTGTCATCAGACATTCTTTCAGGATGTCTCAAACATTTCAGTCTATTAGCTCTCATTATACCATTGATCAATGGTGATTTAAACAGATTATGAATTTTGTTATTGCTTCTCACTCTCCTTTCCCCACTGTTTGTTTTGTTTTGGTTAAACTTATTAATTTCTTGTCAATTTTGTGTGAAACTGACAACTTACACTTTTTAAGTTTCTGTCTTCACTGTATTATTAGTTCAATGTTGAATTAAGAATCGACATCGCAGCACTCAGGACATTCACATAAGCACTCGGTCCCCATTTTTAGCAGCAAGGGCAGAGTTCCAATTCCACTGGCACCAGCAACTGATTGTATATCCGTTTTGCCTTTTCCTTAGCATAGTTTTATTATGGGTGAAAGAAAGAGTGATCCTCATCACTTGTGATGAATGAACAACACAGTATTATTAGTGTTAAACTGGATCATGTCTCCCTTAACATCTGTTTCAAGTTATTACACAAGAATGTATTATCTGGAAAATATACTCAGCCCTGAGGTTGTCAACTCAGAGAATCTGGTCAAACTGTGGTCAGAGAGTGTACCAGCATTGTTAGACACTGTCAGAGGTAAGCATGTAAATCTGTTCACAGGTATTGTTAACAGCTGTTAGACATTGTGAGAGGTAAACACTTAACTTTTTCACATGGTATGCTATCATTGTTAGACATTGTGAGAGGTAAGCAATTAATTTTTTCACATGGTATGCTATCATTGTTAGACACTGATAAAGATTAGAATTTGAACCTGTTCACAGAGAATATCATTGTTGTTACAAACTGTTAGAGGTAAGCTTTTGAACCTGTTCACAGAGAATACCATCGTTATTGCAAACTGTTAGAGGTAAGCACTTGAACCTGTTTACAGAGAATACCATCGTTGTTACAGACTGTTAGAGTTAAGCACTGAACCTGTTCACAGAGAATACCATCGTTGTTACAGACTGTTAGAGTTAAGCACTGAACCTGATCACAGAGAATACCATTGTTGTTACAAACTGTTGAGGTAAGCACTTTAACATGTTCACAGAGAATACCATCGTTATTGCAAACTGTTAGAGGTAAGCACTTGAACCTGTTCACATAATACCATCGTTGTTACAAACTGTTAGAGCTAAGCACTGAACCTGTTCACAGAGAATACCATCGTTGTTACAAACTGTTAGAGCTAAGCACTGAACCTGTTCACATAATACCATCGTTGTTACAAACTGTTAGAGTTAAGCACTGAACCTGTTCACAGAGAATACCATTGTTGTTACAAAACCTTCTCTCTTTTTTTGTGTCGTCACTGCTCAGTTGCGTGATTATTTGCCTGTTGTGCTACTTGTATTTCTTTGTTTCTTGTCAGTGTCTTCCTTTTTTAAGGGGAATGTAGAAATACAAAAACATCTTAGTTTTGATACTCATGAACAGTCGCGCCTTTGACGATTCTCCCTGAGTACTTCTTACTTGTATGCAGGCGCCTGTGGTGCCTCAAACAGACTCATGACAATACAACCTGCCACAAATATGTGGGGCAAGCGAACGTCGAATGAAGCCGTCTCCTCACACCCCCACAACATATGACAGGCCATGGGAATGGTCATTCATGAATGGGAGGGGAAGAAACTCTCATGCAACGACGACATGGGAGCAAGTTCTTGATAAGTACTTACTAGGTATATCATAATTGTTAGACATCATTAGAGGTAAACACCTAAATCTATTCACTGGTATATCATAATTGTTAGAAATCATTAGAGGTAAGCACCTAAATCTATTCACTGGTATATCATAATTGTTAGACATCATTAGAGGTAAGCACCTAAATCTATTCACTGGTATATCAAAATTGTTAGACATCATTAGAGGTAAGCACCTAAATCTATTCACTGGTATATCATAATTGTTAGACATCATTAGAGGTAAGCACCTAAATCTATTCACTGGTATATCATAATTGTTAGAAATCATTAGAGGTAAGCACCTAAATCTATTCACTGGTATATCATAATTGTTAGAAATCATTAGAGGTAAGCACCTAAATCTATTCACTGGTATATCATAATTGTTAGACATCATTAGAGGTAAGCACCTAAATCTGTTCACTGGTATATCATAATTGTTAGAAATCATTAGAGGTAAGCACCTAAATCTATTCACTGGTATATCATAATTGTTAGACATCATTAGAGGTAAGCACCTAAATCTATTCACTGGTATATAATAATTGTTAGACATCATTAGAGGTAAGCACCTAAATCTGTTCACTGGTATATCATAATTGTTAAAAATCATTAGAGGTAAGCACCTAAATCTATTCACTGGTATATCATAATTGTTAGAGATTATTAGAGGTAAGCACCTGAATCTGTTCACTGGTATATCATAATTGTTAGAGATTATTAGAGGTAAACATTTAAACCTGTTCACAAGATGTGCTGTCATTGTTTAACACTGTCAGAGGAGAGCAGTTAAACCTGTTCACAGTGCATACCATCATTGTCTGAAACTGTTAGTGGTAAGTGCCTTATTCTGCTTACAAGTTGCACCATAAGTTACACTGATAGATGTAATGAATTCCAGAGAAATTTGACTAGAAGCTCAACAAAATGATAGATGTTAGTAGTTTAACCTATTTTCATTGTAAGACACTGTTAAAAGTAACAATTTAAGGGCTAATCTCAGGATGTAAGTAGAAGTTAACCACTTGAAGCCTCAAAATAATATATATATATACATACATACATGCGCGCGCACGCACACACACACGCACACGCACACACACACACACACACACACATATATATATATATATATATATATATATATATATATATATATATATATATATATATATATATATATATATATATATATATATATATATATATATATATATATATAAAACATCATATTACTCTCTTAAACATGATTATTTTCTTATAGTCCATGCCATGTGGTGTTGGTAGTCATGTCTACCCACAACCTTCTATCTTGTATACTTTCGGTAATTGCTGACACAGATGAGCTTCCATGCTATGATGTCAAACTGTCCACCATCTTCTCTCTCAGTCTCCTCTTGTCTGTTCCCCCCTCCAACTTTCCTACTGTCATGATGTCATCCAGTTTCTCCTTCCAGTGACATGCCAAAAGAATATTATGGGCAGTCCATTCTCTTCATGAGTCAGTTTCTTTGATGGCATCTCCATTACACTTTTTATCTGTCTAGGTTGTTCTCATAATCCATCTGTAAAATAACAGCATTTTTCGAACATAATTATTTAGGACTAATTTTTCAAGAATCCAGCTCAAAATGGCTACCAGGAAAAGTAATTGAAAATTAAGGTAGCCAACATAATGTTGACCACATAGGAGCCTTGGGAAGAAATATCATTCCTATCTACATTGGCCAGGATCTGGTTCGGAATCCGTTTCTAGAATGGTCTTGACCAGTGTGAGCCTTGTTGCTGGTGCCACACCATGTGTGTTTCTACACTTCTGCATCCCCACGTGTGGTTTTGATTATTTTTATTTTTGCAAAAGTACAAAGCTTACTGCTCTTGTTTTCTTCTTCTCTTTTATTTTAGATTGCCAAGAACAAAGCATATATTTTTTACAAGAGAAATATGCATGAGAGATGTGTATGGTGACATCAGCTAACAACACAACATATGGACCATCATCATCATGTAGCAGGTCCTTTGCAAAACATCGCTCTCATCACAGTCTGCTTGAAAGAAACTCGGTCTCTCGCCAGTTCTCCCACCTCATGCACTTTCACATTCAAGGAGTCACTTATATCCTGTGCCCATCTCCGTGTTGGTCGGCCTCTGCCCCTCCTTCCTGGTACCATGCCTTCTGCTATAATTTTTTCCAATCCGTCGTGACGCTTGATATGACCAAAATATTTCAGCTTTCCAGAAAGGATGCTGTTTATTAGCCAATCTTCCTTGATGGTCAGATTTGGACCAAGCATAAGAATTCATCTTAGTCACCAAGTATTTAACCTACTGTGCAATGTCAGAAGAAGAGTGCTTGCTGAATGTGTGCCCAAAGTCATTGTGTGAGGCAGTGATTTCCAAACTGTACGCCCCAGGAAACCGCGGCCTCTTCACAGGGGCGCTGCAAAATGTTTGAAGACACACAAGTTTTTTTGGATGTTTTTTAAAATCTTGTACATACAAATAGTCATACTTTTATTTAGGTTAGGGTGCCATGGAAAAATTTTGATTGAAAAAAGGCTCCGCGACTAAGAAAACTTCGGGAAACACTGGTGTAAGGCACATTTCTGTCAAGAAATTACAATAACAGCAATTGATTAACCAACATTTTGAGTGTCTCAGAGCAGTTTGGCTCTGGGCCTGTTCAGTCTTCTTCTTCTCCATTCACCCTTAAAATGGCAGTTGGTATGTTTATGTTGTGGTTTACAGCTAGGCTGCCATTTCTGGGCCTGTCAGCCCAGTATGTTCGATTTTAGCAGGCCTCTGGATATTAGTCTTTTAAAGCATGCTTGTTAGGGTGCAGTGGGTTTAATTCTTTTTCCTCGCCAAAAATGGGGCTCCAGAACCTACTGGGAGCTCTTTAAAGGTTGATGAATCCCTTCATTGAGCTGGTTTTTGGCTGCTTTGTCTTTTTCTGCTGGTCATCTGCTGTAAGCATTACATAAAGCATGAAATCTGTAGCCCAGTAATGACCCACTGGAGATATCTGAAACAGCCGAACTCATGAACCAAGGAACATATTTTAAAACCAAACCCACAACCTTCAGAGCAAGAGGCAGACGGTTTAATCACTTCATTGTGAGGCCGAGGATTTATTCACTTTATTGTGAGGCAGAGGATTTAATCACTTCATCATGAGGCAAATGATTTAATCACCTCATCATGAGGCAAATGATTTAATCACTTCATCATGAGGCAAATGATTTAATCACTTCATCATGAGGCAAATGATTTAATCACTTCATCATGAGGCAGATGGTTTAATCACTTCATCATGAGGCAGATGGTTTAATCACTTCATCATGAGGCAAATGATTTAATCACTTCATCATGAGGCAAATGATTTAATCACTTCATCATGAGGCAGATGGTTTAATCACTTCATCATGAGGGAGATGGTTTAATCACCTCATCATGAGGCAGATGGTTTAATCACTTCATCATGAGGCAAATGATTTAATCACTTCATCATGAGGCAAATGATTTAATCACTTCATCATGAGGTAGATGGTTTAATCACTTCATCATGAGGCAAATGATTTAATCACTTCATCATGAGGCAAATGATTTAATCACTTCATCATGAGGCAAATGATTTAATCACCTCATCATGAGGCAGATGGTTTAATCACTTCATCATGAGGCAGATGGTTTAATCACTTCATCATGAGGGAGATGGTTTAATCACCTCATCATGAGGCAGATGGTTTAATCACTTCATCATGAGGCAAATGATTTAATCACTTCATCATGAGGCAAATGATTTAATCACTTCATCATGAGGCAGATGGTTTAATCACTTCATCATGAGGCAAATGATTTAATCACTTCATCATGAGGCAAATGATTTAATCACTTCATCATGAGGCAAATGATTTAATCACCTCATCATGAGGCAGATGGTTTAATCACTTCATCATGAGGCAGATGGTTTAATCACTTCATCATGAGGGAGATGGTTTAATCACCTCATCATGAGGCAGATGGTTTAATCACTTCATCATGAGGCAGATGGTTTAATCACTTCATCATGAGGGAGATGGTTTAATCACTTCATCATGAGGCAGATGGTTTAATCACTTCATCATGAGGCAGATGGTTTAATCACTTCATCATGAGGCAGATGGTTTAATCACTTCATCATGAGGCAGAGGATTTAATCACTTCATCATGAGGCAAATGATTTAATCACTTCATCATGAGGCAAATGATTTAATCACTTCATCATGAGGCAGATGATTTAATCACTTCATCATGAGGCAGAGGATTTAATCACTTCATCATGAGGCAAATGATTTAATCACTTCATCATGAGGCAAATGATTTAATCACTTCATCATGAGGCAAATGATTTAATCACTTCATCATGAGGCAAATGATTTAATCACTTCATCATGAGGCAGATGGTTTAATCACTTCATCATGAGGCAGATGATTTAATCACTTCATCATGAGGCAAATGATTTAATCACTTCATCATGAGGCAAATGATTTAATCACTTCATCATGAGGCAAATGATTTAATCACTTCATCATGAGGCAAATGATTTAATCACTTCATCATGAGGCAAATGATTTAATCACTTCATCATGAGGCAGATGATTTAATCACTTCATCATGAGGCAGATGGTTTAATCACTTCATCATGAGGCAGATGATTTAATCACTTCATCATGAGGTAAATGATTTAATCACTTCACTTCATCATGACTTCATCAAATGATTTTAATCACTTCATCACGAGGCAAATGATTTAATCACTTCATCATGAGGTAAATGATTTAATCACTTCATCATGAGGCAGATGATTTAATCACTTCATCATGAGGTAAATGATTTAATCACTTCATCATGAGGGAGATGGTTTAATCACTTCATCATGAGGCAGATGGTTTAATCACTTCATCATGAGGTAAATGATTTAATCACTTCATCATGAGGCAGATGATTTAATCACTTCATCATGAGGGAGATGATTTAATCACTTCATCATGAGGGAGATGATTTAATCACTTCATCATGAGGGAGATGATTTAATCACTTCATCATGAGGGGAATGATTTAATCACTTCATCATGAGGGAGATGGTTTAATCACTTCATCATGAGGGAGATGGTTTCATCATGAGGCAAATGATTTAATCACTTCATCATGAGGCAAATGATTTAATCACTTCATCATGAGGTAAATGATTTAATCACTTCATCATGAGGCAGATGATTTAATCACTTCATCATGAGGTAAATGATTTAATCACTTCATCATGAGGGAGATGGTTTAATCACTTCATCATGAGGTAAATGATTTAATCACTTCATCATGAGGGAGATGGTTTAATCACTTCATCATGAGGCAGATGGTTTAATCACTTCATCATGAGGTAAATGATTTAATCACTTCATCATGAGGCAGATGATTTAATCACTTCATCATGAGGGAGATGATTTAATCACTTCATCATGAGGGAGATGATTTAATCACTTCATCATGAGGGAGATGATTTAATCACTTCATCATGAGGGAGATGATTTAATCACTTCATCATGAGGGAGATGGTTTAATCACTTCATAATGAGGCAGATGGTTTAATCACTTCATAATGAGGCAGAGGATTTTCACCTCATTATGAGGCAGATGATTTAATCACTTCATCATGAGGTAGATGATTTAATTACTTCATCATGAGGTAAATGATTTAATCACTTCATCATGAGGCATATGATTTAATTACTTCAAAATGAGACAGAGGATTTAATCACTTCATCATGAGGCAGGCAATTTAATCACTTCATCTTGAGGCGTATGATTTAACCACTTCATTATGAGGCCGACGATTTAACCACTTCATCATGAGGCAAATGATTTAATCACTTCATCTTAAAACAGGCAATTTAATCACTTCATCTTGAGGCATATGATTTAACCACTTCATTATGAGGCCGACGATTTAACCATTTTGTCATGAGGCAAATGATTTAATCATTTCATCATGAGGCAGATGTTTTAATCACTTCATCATGAGGCAGACGATTTAACCTCTTCATCGTGAGGCAGAGGATTTATTCACTTCATCATGAGGCAGAAGATTTAATCACTTTATAATGAGGCAGGCAATTTAATCACTTCATCATGGAATGACAGTTTTTCATGGAATTCCAGGAAAAAAAATTCTTTAAGAAATCAAAAGTTTTACATAGGTCACTAACAAATTTGTATAATTTCTTTGTAATCTACAGTTTTTAATTATTTTTGTTTTAAATGTTTGACATTTATAAATGTACATTATGGGAGTAAATCAATGAAAACAAAATGCATGCGTCAAGACAACCACAATATAAGTGCATCAAATTTCCAGAAGATTCAGAACAAACAAACAATGATATAGCTTCAATGTTAATGTTTCTGTACATATATTCTCAAAGTGTATAAGAAAGAATGAGTAAATAAACTTTATAATTATGTTTGTCATATAAATGATTTTCTGTGTCTCTTTTGAAATCAGTACTTTTATTGCAAGGGCAGGGTTGAATATAGTAGTTATGTCATCTACCTTTTAAAGTGTAGAGTTTGTGGTTTTTTTAAAAATTAAAAAACAAAAATCTGTTTGCAGGTGATATTATCAGAGAAACTTTGTTTTTATACTTTGTCTACTTGGCAGGACAGAGGGGCTAGTCACCTGTCAAAAGCACAAACTCTGTAGCTCTAGCGACGATCCCCGGTGAATGATATATTCAAGAAATGAGCTCACAGCCTTTAGAACGTGAGACAAATCACTTGACCAATTCACCACAGTGACCCGATTTGTAGTATGGGTGGGGTTTGAACCCACACAGAAATAATTCTATTGTGTGTATTTAGTGGTTGAGGGAAGCTGGTTCTCAAGGAAACTAGATGATGTCATACTCCATAATA